GCTGTGAAGGATGGGCTGTGCGTATGGATGACAAGCGAAGACTGGACAACCACTGCTTGAAAACCATACCTCGAGTGAAGTACACCGACTTCATCTCAAATGAGACAGTCCTCGTCCGCTGCGACAACATCGCAAGGATAACTCTGGCCATCCGAGAAAGACGACTGAGGTGGTTTGGGCACGTTCTGCGTTGTTCACCTCTGAAGCTCAGCATTACTGCCCTCGACCCGGCACCGTTATCCCATTGGAGGCGTCGAAGAGGAGGTTAACTCAAGACCTGGCTCGACGCAGTTGGTCAAGACATGGACGTAGTTCTTGGACCTTCGGTGTTCGCTTTTCGTCGTGGCGAAGAGAATGGGTTGAACTGTCTGCATCTGCTGCCGTGGATTGTCATGCGTGGAGAGGTACAGTTCGGAATACCATCGTGGCTGGATAGATCAGACATGATCGTAGCCGTACAAAGTACAAGTAATTCTGCACTCTGTGTAATCCAGCTCACGACAACAACATGGCAAGCCTATATCGGAGGAAAAGTCTTATCGCATTAAGTTTGGGTAGGACTGTATTACCCTCGTGTCGAACATTCGCCAGTACTTTCCTATGGAACACGTTAAATTAACGGCTCCAGGTGCAGTTCGACCGTCGTCATGGGCGATATCCACTGCATGCAGCATGGTGGACGTTGTGGCGGTGACATGGGCATGTATTAGTTTATAGTGATATTGGACTTGTGGACCATCTACCACAGTCTCTTCCCTCACCTATCTGAGCCAGGTGTCAAAAAAGAGTCAAACAGACCGGAGGCGCGATGGGGCGCAGTGACTAACAGAGCTGGAAAGTCCGTCTGCGCGTGCCACACACACCCTCGGTTCGTGCACGATGGACCAGATTTCCACAAAAACAAAGAGAGGCTCGTATTCCCACTGATTGGGAGTGTCACGGAGGCGACACTAAGTGGGGGAAGGGTTACTTGAGGAAAGGCTTGTCGCCAACGCACACAAGCATCTTTTTTGTTGGTTTAAACCAATTCACGCGCAAGTCACCGTCCCGACTCCCACTCTGCTATGGAACACACGGCGGATATCGTCGAAATTGGCGGTCACGATGGCCAGCAGCTGATTTTGGCTCATACAAGGAGACGACAGACGTTCGCAAAGTGACCTTTCAGCCGCATACAACCTATCCGGCCATTGACTGGTTCCCGTGCGAATAGGGCACGTTTGGCTTGTTGCGAGGGCGACCACCACGCCGTATCTACCAGAAGAGTCAGTGGGCCGCTGAGGTAGAGAGTAAAGTGAGAGATGACTCCCAGGATATTTATTTTCTGAGCGTCTAAGTCGGAGATTCGAAATTCGGATAGATGGCAGACATCAGCGTGGTACTGATAAGGACTGAGCGCCATCAGACTTTGGGTACGCGGATCCAGGAACATTCGCCCATCTGAGCATCCAATATCAATAGTCCGTTCTCGGGTGAAGTCTAGCCCGCATATTAATCGACAGCACCATTGGACCAGGGTTTGGAAGCGCGACGGTCCCCGCAGACGCCGTAGTATGTATTGTAATAATGTAACTAGACATTTTCACGGGGTTTCTGGGAACTTTTGAATAAAGGTGAATTCCCAAGTCGCTCAGATTGTTTGATTGAGGTTGTTTCCTCTATAATTTTGGTTCAAAAATCTAACCCTAAGCCACTGATGGCAGGCAAGCTCGACTAAGGGTGATTCGCGGTTGCCCCGGGAAGACGGTTTGCCCGTTACCCTAGCTGCTGGCAACCCGGCGCGTCCACAGGTGGCGGATAGTGGGACGACCTTCAGTGAAGGTTAGCTGCGAAATAAGCAGACCCAGGTCTGACGAATAAGCAGTCGCGGACCAGCAGCGACATTGCTACCAGGGTGCGGTGGGCTGAAGTCTGGCACGCTGAAAGCCTTATAAAATGCCGCAAAGCCCAATGACGGCATTGTGACATGGCGACCGTAAACCGCCATTAAATAAGTTTACTTGTCACCGCTGCCTTGTGGTTAGGTTTTTAAGCCAAAGCGCTAGAGGAGACAACCTCGAACAAACAATCCGAGCGGCTGTTGGGGACCCGCCCGTATTCGAAATTCCCAAGAAACCTCATGAAACATGTCCAATAACAGTACTACGACCCATGCTACGGCGTCCGCGGGAACCGACGCGCTCCGCAACCCTAGTCCAGTGGTGCAGCCGAATAGTATGCGAGCTGGACTACTCAATCGTAGAAGGACTCTCGGTATGGGATGCTGGAATGTACGAACGTTCCTGGACCCTGGTACTCAAAGTCTGACCGCACGCAGCCTCCATCAGTACAACGTGGATGTCTGCTGTCTGTCTGAGGTACGACTCCCTGACTCGGGCTCTCGTGAAATAAAGATCCCGGGAGTCGAATCCCACTTCACCCTGTACCACAGCGGCCCCCGCGATTCCTCTGGTCGACACGGTGTGGCGATCGCCTTATCACAACAAGCGGAGCTTGCGCTACTTGCTTGGGAACCAGTAAATGACCGGATGGCCTACGTGCGACTGAAGGGTCACTTCACGAACATCTCCATCGTCGCTGTGTACGCACCAACTTCGGCTGCCGAACAGCGCGATAAAGAGGCGTTTTACTCTCAGTTGCGAGCGCTAGTTGAAAGACTGCCTCGCCGCGATCTGCTGATTGTTGCTGGCGATTGGAATGGTCGAACTGGACCTGGCGACCCCACAACCAGTCATCATCTTGGCCGCTTTGGGCTTGGTTCTCGATGTGAAAATGGTGAGAGATTGCTGAACTTCGCTGATCGAAACCGACTGCTTGTCACCAACACATGCTTCCAGCATCGCAAAAAACATCTGCTGACCTGGTATTCAAACGACGGTCGTACGGCCAGTCTTATTGACTACATACTAGTCAGCTCAAGGTTCCGCAGCTGGGTTCACGATAGCAGATCGATGCGTGATGCCGAGACTGGTAACGCCCATGGGTCGGACCATGTCCTCGTCCGTACACGCCTGAAAGTTCATCTCTCATCCGCACCAAAAATGCCACGTCCTATACGCCTCAATGTCGCAAAAATCCGGCAAGCCAGCACTGCCGAGGCCCTAAGCAGAGAAATCCAGACCTGTTTTACGGCCCGAGTCGACGGAGAAGTCAGTAACCAGTGGTCGTCACTGAAGACATCAGTCTATGGGGCAGCTGAGAAAATCCTTGGATACACCCAGCGACGCCGCAGTGACTGGATCAGCGGAAGAACCCTGCAGTTGTCTGCTCAGACGGCTAGAGCCAGGTCCCGCAACGATGACTACTTCCGCCAACTTCGGAAGATGACGGCAAAATCGGCCAGGGATGACCGGAAACAATATTGGGCTGAAATAGCGACATCCATGGAACAGGCCATTCCAACAATCGCCTTACTGGCCGTCTTGGAGTTGGCATGACGCGACAATGGTGCGAGAATGCTGAAGTTTGCTGGTCAGGACTGTTTGTCACCAACACATAGTTCCACCATCGACACAAACGTTTACCGACCTGACATTCCATCGACGGGAATGACAGTTAGACCGCCGATTTCGACGATATCCGCCGTGTGTTCCATAGCAGAGTGGGAGTCGGGACGGTGACTTGCGCGTGAATTGGTTTAAACCAACAAAAAAGATGCTTGTGTGCGTTGGCGACAAGCCTTTCCTCAAGTAACATTTCCCCCACTTAGTGTCGCCTCCGTGACACTCCCAATCAGTGGGAATACGAGCCTCTCTTTGTTTTTGTGGAAATCTGGTCCATCGTGCACGAACCGAGGGTGTGTGTGGCACGCGCAGACGGACTTTCCAGCTCTGTTAGTCACTGCGCCCCATCGCGCCTCCGGTCTGTTTGACTCTTTTTTGACACCTGGCTCAGATAGGTGAGGGAAGAGACTGTGGTAGATGGTCCACAAGTCCAATATCACTATAAACTAATACATGCCCATGTCACCGCCACAACGTCCACCATGCTGCATGCAGTGGATATCGCCCATGACGACGGTCGAACTGCACCTGGAGCCGTTAATTTAACGTGTTCCATAGGAAAGTACTGGCGAATGTTCGACACGAGGGTAATACAGTCCTACCTACACTTAATGCGATAAGACGTTTCCTCCGATATAGACTTGCCATGTTTTCGTCGTGGGCTGGGTTCTTGTTATTCTTCTCATTCTTTTTATTCTTCTTTTCCTTCTTCTTTTTCATCTTCTTCTTCCTCTTCTTCTTCTTTGTCGTCTTATTTTTCTTTTTTCTATTCTTCTTCTTCCTCCTTTTTTCTTATTCTTCCAATTCATCGTCCTATTCTTATTCTTCTTCAGATTTTTCTTGATATTCTCGTTATTCTTCTTGTTCTTCTAACTCTTCTTATTCTTCTTCCCATTTTCCTTATGCTCCTTCTTATTTTTCTACTGCTTATTCTTTTTATTCACCTTGTTCTTTTTTTCTTCTCCTTCTGCTTCTTCTTCTTTTTCCTTTTATTCTTATTCTTCTTATTCATCTTCCTATGCCTCTTATTCTTGTTATTCTTATTCCTTTCCTTTTTATGCTCCTTATTTTCCTCCTATTTTCTTCTCGTTCTTCTTATCTTCTTCTTTTCCTTCTCGTTCTCCTTATTCTTCTTATTTTCCTTGCAATTCTTCTTCTTCTTCCTCTTCTTGTTATTCTTCATTTTATTCTTTATCTGATTCTTCTGATTCTTTGTCTTATTCTTCTGCTTTCTTCTTCTTCTTCAGCCCCTCACATTTACATTTCATTTGAAGTAATGAAAAGATGGCGGGTAGGGAGGGGAACGAAAATCAAGATTACCGTCGACGTCGGGGGAAGGATGGTGGAAACCGCTTGGTGGTTGGCATGATGGCTTTGGGTCATGGCAACTGTGGGGCTTGTATGAAATCCCTCTGTGCGCATAGGACCGGTTTGCATACAGTTGTTGCAGCCAACATCCAGTAGACGCCGTCAAAGTGGTTTTGAGTAACTGGACAGAACCAAATCATTTAGAAGCCCTCCTGTCATCTGTCCTGAGTAGGTGGACAGAACCAAATCATTTAGAAGCCCTCCCGTCATCTACGTTCTCTATTTGGCCCTTTCCTAACCATACTGAAAGATGTTCTTCTGGGTAAACGCCGGCTCGCCCGACCATACACATTTAATACACTGGAAAAAAACACTATTTGCGAATAGTCGGACTCTCGCGACCAGAATCCGTCAGTTTTCTTGAGCACAATTTTTTTAGGGAAATGAGGACGTTTTTAGGATGCCCAAATCTGTTTGTGAGGGAGGCGACGTTTGCTTTGATTTCTCTTCATACACCGAGCTGATTCCCTCGCGGTCTTTGCACCACGACGGATAATCATTCTTAATAAAGAAAAAGCATCTTTTCAGTCCCCCGAAGCTTCTGTACTTCGTCACCATCAGTCCTATGAATATGTTATGGCAAATACATGCGGATCTATGCCGGCTGCTGTTCACCACTATATCCAACATGCTCGAATTCTTGGCGGCTGCCAACTCTAAAACGCTTCCGTACGCCACGGTGCCAGGCACAGCATCACTGTAACGTAGACGATGGCCACAGATAGAGCTTGTACTTGGTCTTCACGCAGTCCATCCTGTCACAGTGAATTGTGTTGTTAGTCGACAGAATGTCTACGAACTAGGCTTGTAGCCCGTTGGTACTGCACTCGCCTCCCCTGGAGGAACAACTAAACTTGGGGGAGTCGGCAGCCACTTTGGACACTGTCATAGTAATCGAATCTGATGAAGAGGGTTTGGATGGCCACTCAGACGAAATACCAGCCTCTAGTGACGCTGCTGGTAGTGATGCCGCGGCCACCGCTGCACAGGCAACTAATCAGGGGTCGCTCTTCCCTTTAGACAACCTGCAGTTACCCTCGGCCTTCCTTTCTGAATCAGATGACGATGCTGACCTTGGGGCTATTGCACCGATTGATCCAGCCAGCCAGGCTGAAATTTGCGAGTCGATAAGATCTTACACTGCCTCTGTTGCCCCTTTAAATCCAGATGTTCGGAAGTCCGAAGAATGCATATCCTTGGACTGCGACAGCGGAGACAAAGAGGAAATCGTAGACAGTTCGCGACGGTCTCCCAGTGCCACAGTGCCGTCGACGCTTGTCTCAGAAATTTCCCCGGTCAGTGGCACCAAAAAAGGTGACAATGAGCCACGCTCTGAGATTTCTCTTCTTGATTCCGATCGCGAGAATGAGACGGAGAGGCAGGAAGCAAACCACCGTCACCGCCAGTTAGTTTGCCTTTGCATGCTGCCGCCGTCGACCCTAACGGAGCTACTGTTTCCCCCACCATACCGCGAGGAACCGAGGTGATCAATATTGATAGTGACGGCGAGGAAGAGGAGGGCGACGATGAACCGCAAGTGGTACACTGTACTCTACCGCCGAAGGGGACAGCTCCTTCTAACTATGGCGAGCACCGACCTTGCCAGTCCAGTGACTTTCACCCTCAAAGCTCAACTCCCAACCTTCACCCGTCGGCTTTCTCACTTGGCAACCCGCAGCTAGTGACACAGATCTCAGAGCAGCGTGTCATTAGCGTATCAACTGACATCTTTGGTTGTCCCGTGACTTCTGCACGTATTGTTCAGCAAAGACAGGACTTTGTGTTCCCACATCCGGTGCATGACTCCTTTTACCTCCCCCCCCCACCCCTAATAATGCCCCGCGGGTTTTCGCGTTTCTCTAGTCATGCTTGGCACCCCTCGCCCTACCAGCGCTTCTTTCAAAGCAATTTCTGAACCTGGACTCGTGACCTCGCTCTGTTGTTGGTTGTATAGTCGATCGCCACCCCTGATCGCTCCCCTTTTTTTTGGAACAGGGAGCGATTACGTTTTCTTTGTCTTAGACCCATTATTGACGTGTCTGTTACTTCTATTTTTGCTCGAAGCCGGATGCGCGAATGTTTGTGCGAGCGTCTCTCTGCGTCAGGGTATTTGTACCCTGTTTCCGCCGCCATCTGGCCTCGACTTCTGTCCTATGAGCTAGTAGAGGAACTTTAATTCCGTACCAAAAGCTTTCCTGGCGGTGATGTCGCTTTTTTGTATCTTTCCTGGTCAGCTGCCTTGAAATTCCCAATAGTGTAGAGCAGACTTCCCTGGGACCCTTAGCGGCGTCGAGATCGTTAGTCACCTGAATTCCCAAGTCACATCGTCGAAGTGTTGAGGTCGGATATGCTCAGTGTCACAGATGCACGACGTCCACCAGCCTTACCTGATTATTCGCTGCTTTGCGACCGTGCTAGGCCTCGGGGTCTGAATTCCCAGGCTAGCACTTCGCCTTATAAATACAACTCGTTTAAAGCTACTCATGCGTGACTTGATTTATTTGCTACTGAAACTACGCCAGTTATAACTTTACTGCGACAATTAGTACGTTTTGATGGATGCCGGTGGATGCGCTTGAGCTGCCGCTGGGCATATAGTTCTTGTCCATGGCTGCGTAGTGACTCGTGTCATCCTTCCCTTTCTGACCCACTTTTGTTGCTGGTTGAAATCCTGGTCAAATGTTTGTCGTGGACCAGGGGATGTGGTGGTACGCCTAGGTGCGAGTCCGGCCGTTCCGGCCACCTGTGCCTTCTGCCGCCTTCGATCTTGACTATGTTTGGACACTGAGCTTATGCGGGGTAGGAGGAAGTGGGAGTGCGGTGGATGCTGTGCAAGTCTACCACCTCTATAAATTAATTCACACACAGGTCACCGTGCCTGTGGAGCACACGGTAGACATCATTGGCGACGACGGCCGAACTGTCACTACGTTTCGATAGCAGTTTTGCATATTCGTTCTACGCCTATTTTATCTGCTCGCATCATTAAGACATTTTGAATTCAAGTCTGTAATTACAGGCTTGCTCCTAATGCTTGAATCGTGAAGTTCACTTTTGGCTGGCCATGCACGTGTTAAGCACCCTTTGTTGAAAAAAGGAGCCTTGAACCCTGGGACTTGAGTGGCAGAGGTAGCCAGACCCAGCTTATTGCAACGGGCATGGGCATTAGATTGCTTTTTCATATTTCCTCTGACGACGAAAGGTCTTTATCACTTGGCACGATGCCTATCTTCTTTGGTGAGTTGATAGCATTCACATATTTACCTTCTGTACTTGGCTATGCTAAGGTCACAAACATCTCAGCGGATATTTGAGAGCACAGCCCGAATAACTCGTGTAATAAGCCAAAATGTCCTTCTCCATTCCCATTTTAGGTGTAGCGCATTTGCGATGTATACGCACACCAACAAATACAGAGTGCGGTCTGCCGGTAAACGAGGTATTGGCAGTTCGACCGTCGTTGCCGACGATGTCCACCGTGTGCACCACAGCGAGGTGAGAGTAGGCACGGTGACTTGTGGGTGAATTAGTTTATATTGGTAGCAGACTTGCACAGCGTCTGCCGCACTCCCTTCTCTCTTGCCTTAGCTCGGTGTCAAGACATAGTCGATCAAGGTACTACAGAAGGCAATACAAAGTTCTGTGCTCTCACTTGATGTGAGGTGGGAACATGCCAGACCTAAATCTGATCTTTCAAATGGCTGGTAGTGACCGTAGCTAGCCGCCTGACGAACAGCAGGGGGTAAATAATGACTTCAGTGCGTTTAGCGTGTGGGTGCACTACCCTGCACTTGAGCTACAACCTCACAGTGTGGAGATCCTCAAGCTCCACACCCTGAAAATCCTACGGACAAAGGATCAGTCAGGACATATTAGCGCCATTTTTGACTTATTTTCGTCAACGATTGTTGATGCCTCTGTAGCTAGTGTGGGTGGCTTGTTCAATGGTTAACTGACCTGAGTTCAAAACCTGGACGCGTATCCTATGCAATGCCAACCTTAGCTAGGGCAGATATGGCAGAAATGAACGTTTCAGTCACTTTGCATTTGTTGCTGACGCTCCTCTATTGTTTATTATTAGTCATGAAGCAACCATCTGTGTGACTGGTAGGCATTCAGCTCTAGGCAAGATGAAAGAATTCTCCATCTAGTAATTTGTCGCTACTACTGCTTATGAGACTGTTCCGTTGTCGTTGACGCGCGTCATCATTGTGTCGTTCAGATGACTCGTCGTTTGTGTGAATCAAACTGGCATCCGCATTTCAGAATGACTCTCCAGGGTCACAAGAAACAGTTCGACCATCAGAGGCGACGACTTCTACCGTGTGCCGCACGTAGTGATGTTTAGGGCCAGTGAACTGGACCCTGATTTTTTTATAGAGATAGAGCACTTGCACAACATCTGCCGGAATCTCCTAACTCACGTGTGGAAGTTTTATCGTACGGTGATTCTAGAAATCGCCTGGACACCTTGCACCCACCCACTCATACATACCCTCCGGGAAAGTGAGGGTCTTCGAATCTAATCCTCACACGCAGTCGCTTGCCTACATAGGAAAGTTGTGTCCATTGTGCTGGAGGATAGGCTACGAGTAAAATCCTCTCACAATCTCCAGGAAAATAAGCCATCAACCCTGTTCTAGATTTCCGACCGCAAATGCCTTACACCGAAAGATTTGTAACGAGCGTCTGTGAGAGACTTTGCACAACAGTTGGCAACGGCCAGGTCGTCTTTCACCAGCCAAATGACCTGATTTCTGTTGGTGGAGGGACATGTTGCCGACGCAAGAACGCCTGGGGCGAAAGCCATCTTGTACATCTGCAGTACACTTCTCTCTTCGGGCAACGTCAGCACCTGCTTCCCTATCGACTGCTCTGTAACATTGCTAGGAATCTATCGGGCTGGCGCGACATGGACTCTTCATCTCGAGTTAAGGTTCACGCTATCGTTAAACTACCTCATCCCTGAGACTACAGCAATTCCCCGAAATTAGCGGGTGTTAAGTTCCTAAGCCCCCTGCCAAGTTTGGATGGTTAACTAACAAGGACCTATAAGTGCCTATGTTCACAGGCTAAACGATAAATATACCCTTAAATCACTTCAAGTTCATTTAGAAATGGATGTTATGGTTTGCATTGTCATTTAAGACTGCAAAGTCAAAAGTAAACATTTACAGTACTGTATTATAAAGTTCATACAGTATGATACCGCACATGTGCATACGTCTACTATCCGCCATCCTAGGCCTACTCGCGCATTCTCTGATACGTTGAACTCTCGTGTGCGCCTTTCCTATGAGACAATCAACGCCACGCGAATTTTAAGTGTGAAGGGTCCAAGGAGAATTACGCGAATTAGTGAAGCCGCAGACTCATAAAACGCGACTTTTTAGGATTTGACCGTGTTGCCTCCCTAAGTGAACTCTAGTAATTCTGACACGATTGAAGGTATCACGGTGTTGGTCTGGTAGTCTGCCAACTGACGTGCTAAATCAGTCCTCTCAGGACGGAGACTCGCACACGCTGTTATTGATCTTTACATGCCCGTTTTAATGACCATCAGCGCCTGCCCGGAAGTGGGAGATAATACAAGTCAACAACCACTTCGTTTTGGGTT